ACCAGAGATCCCCACCCAGTGCCTCAGTCTGTCTAACATGATGATATAGGCTACTATAGCTTACTATTAGTAGCCTAATATTAATTCCAGATGGATAAAACAGCAGTTTAATTTTGTCATTAAGTTTGTTTTCAGTTACTAAATTATTGTGCAAGAAAAATGCTCTACATGGTGGTCAGTCTCTGATTTGTTTATGCAAAGTACTAAATGTCAATAATAAAAACCTTGCATACAGAACGAGTCAACATTTCTAAAGTTTGATGTAGTGCATCAGCCTTTTTTTAATGCCCCGCCTACACCAGGCTGTGATTGGTCGGTTCACGAAAAGTGACAAGCAGCTAACGCACATGGCTGCATGAAAGGCACCCGATCTCCCTGCAGAGATTAGCAAGGCAGGAGATAACAGGAACAGGAGTGGGCAGAAATGAGGACACGGGCTGGTACACCAAAGAGTAAAATGTAAAAGTGACAGTACCGGTGAATACCAGCACACTTAGAGCATAAACTGCTTTTATATTGTGAGAAATAACAGGAAGTCATCGCTCCCAGTAGCGCGAGCTTCGTAGTGGAGCGTTCAGGCGCAGTCAAACCAACGCAGCAGCTGGTTTATTAATCCTGCTTCAGCTGCATGTGTTACAAAAATAAAAAAACAGCGCTGCGGATGACAGGAGAGGTGACTGCTGGAAGACAAAACATCTTCTGCTTGCTCAAAAGCTGTTTGATAAATGGCTATTAAAACACATTAGGAGAATATTTGAAACGCTTCTTCAATTCTGATCATTTTGGCGCTGGTGATTTTCCTTGGGCTCTTGCTAAAACCTCTTTGGGCGGCAAAAATTTCTCTATGCAGGAAAAACCCTGATCTTGTCCAGGACACTGGTCATAATCTGACCGACCTCATTGCTGATGGAGGTCACCCAGAGAGCTGTCCCCCTGCTGTGGCAGGCCAGCCTCTGAACTGCCATCTAGAACATCTGGGATTTAATGACAGTGATGTTTAAAATTATGCTTTACAGATCATTTGTAGAAGTTAGTGTATGTAGATTTATTTCACAGCACACATTTATAAGAACTGCGTATGCAATGTTATGACATGACAAAACTGATACGTGTAGTTGTGAGTCTACAGTGTTTCCCACAGAGTGACAGCGTAACTATGGCATTGAGTACCAGCTATGTACAGCCTGCTAACCTCGAAAACCCTGCAGTATTCTAATATTAATATAGCTATAATTAATAGTCTCCGACATTGCAGGCACCTTTCACCGTTTCGCCATTTTGAGACAAAAATGGGTCACCTACGTGATTTGTGCAGATCCGATGATGAAGTGGATCTACCGAGTCCACTCTAGCATGATCTTTGCAAATTTACAGCCGCATATGCCTAACCAATCGTCATTCCTAATCGGTAAACCTGACAGACAATCAGAGGCAGAGTAGGGCAGGTCTTGTACCCACCACTTTTTGAAAGCATTTGTTAAAAATGTTCTGAATAGCTTGCAACCAGAAATGTTAAATAACAAATGAAAATGTTTTGAGAAAAGTTAATTTGCACTTATTTATTAATTTAACTTAAGCTAAAAAAAATAAAGCTACTAATTATAAAATGGCCCCAAAACATGAAGCACCAGTGAGTAACTTTAACAACTTCTTGATACAGTTTGTTTTTGGTTTTCTGTTCTTTTAGATTTTTAGATTTGAATTGTCACCTGCCATCTGAATTTTCTGTTTCTCTTTTACATAAATAAAAACATTTCCACCATAAATTAATGCAGGAAAAGAAATTGGTGCGGAGAGGTTTGCCAGAATGTAGGAAATCAAATGTTTAATGCTCAAAATTTTCGGGGGGAGGACCACCTGAACCCCCCAACTTTTATATTTTAGCATTAATTGTTTTCTATAAAGTAGGGTTAAAATATCTTCTAGTCTTGTTCTCGTGACACCAATATCGTGTATCATCTCCTCTCGTGAGCTAAGTCTATCGTGACGCCCCTAATCTGAGTCCTTATTTCAGATACGATTTTAAATAGGCCTGGTTAAAAAAAAAAAGAAAATCAATATGTGGCGGCAAGGCTCAACATTAAACTTTTTTGCAACTGGCCCCACCCCACGAAAACTATTTTTACTGTCCCTCCTGTGTTTAATCGTGTTTAATCGTTTATGAAATACATCCTGCATATAAAATAAACTAAACCAAAATGTAAAAACAGTAAACACAGTTAAAATCATAAAAAATAAAAAGGTTAACAAACTATTTACTTTTAAAACAAAACATACTAACAGACTCAAACATGACGCGCTCTCCTGCTGACAGCCATTTATGAAAAATGTACACAGAGCAGCGGACACGAGTCGCCTCTATCCTGATGAACAGGTTGCCGTCAATCACAAGGTAGTCCCATCAAAAAGCATACGCTGCATTATCGTTTATTTTCCCCTAAATAGGACCATAATATACTAAACGGACATCATGCTGTGTTGAAGAAGACCTGAAACTAGCGACTGAGACTATAAAGTCATTTAAAAGTGTTTACTGAGGTAATAAATCAGCTGAGAAGTAGCAACATTTTACCATTATTTCTAATGGAACTCGCCCTCTGCTGGCCGTTAGAGAGAATGCAGCTTAAAGTTCCGTCTGCATAGTTTCACTTTCGACCCAGAGGTTGCCGCATGATTGAGATTAGAGAAATAATATTTGAAAACCTCTCGTCACGTAACTCTTGATTGGACATTGGTGCGCGCCAAGAGCTGCAAAACAACTGCAGGATGTTGAGTTTCATTGAGTTTTTTTAAAATACTAAAGTTGCTAGTTCAACTGTCCCGACGTTACGTTTTACTGGCCCAGAGCCATCGGGCCACCGTTATTGTTGAGCCCTGTGTGGCTGTCAGCGTTGATATTGCGGCAGGCTGCCACAAATAAATCAATGTTTGGGAAACACTGGTATATATTAGTACATGGAAGTCTGTTACACTGTCTTGTTTTTTTGGTTGAGTTCATCTTTAAGATGGACCAAAACGTGGAAGTGATGCTGGCCTTTAGATGGTCCATGCGGGAAAGGATGTCCCTGTTGTAGACAGACAGCTGCCAGCGACTGGTGGGGATGTTGATGGGCTCTGGGGGCTCCTGGCAGACCACTGGGAAGAGGCTGGGCCGATCCACAAAGTCTGCACGCTCCCCAAGATAGTGTGCCAACCAGTTCCTCCCCATGATTCTCCCTGATCTACTTTACCAGTCATGCTGGACTGTTGCCTTAAGCAGCTGAATGACACGGATGTCACAAGCATACTTGAAATGCACGTTTCATTTATTGGTTTTAGGGATGAAGTGGTTACCAGCTTAATGATAAACCATAGTAAGATTTCCGACGGTTAGTATTACAACATGCTTGATTACAGCGCTTTGAAAAACTCACGGCAAATACTTTCCAGCATCAAACAAAGTTAGCAACAGTCTCCCACAAGCATGCGTTTGTTTGGGTAAACGACAACAGCGCTGCAGAGATATTTCAGCCTGTCTGAAGTCTGGTGATATTTTGGTTTTTATAAGAGTGCTGAGGGAAAATTGCCTTTAAGGAAATGCAGGGTAACTTTTAGCTTTGGTTTGTCTGTCTAACTTGCTTATAGCTAGTAAACTGAAGTAAAAACACAACATGTTCTGCTGCTTTAACCTTCATGTGTCTGCAGATCATTTCATGCATTGCACATGTTTACATAAGGTATTTGCTGTTAATATTTTAATGTTTATGCAAACAAAAAGTTAATTTTATTTATGGTTTTCAATGTAAAACTTTGTAAAATTATTTCTGTGTATCAGTACATTTTGATATTTAAAAAAAAACTGTGATAACACTGATAACAAATAAATACATTCAGGGTGTATAGACTACGTTTAGACTGATTTAACTAATACACTTAAGCATTCCACTGTTTTGTCGCTGTGATTGAAAAAGCATTTTGTACGATTTTTGTCGAACAGTGTTTTATTTAACAGTCTCCCCTTGTTGATGATCTTGTTTGCCTTATTTCCTTATGTGCTGTAAGGATAAATTGTTAAAGGGGTGGGGTAGCTAAACCTTGCAGTATCTTATAAAGTAAACAGACATTGGTCATAAATGAATGTTCAAAGCTCAATATGTTACGTGTCTTGTACAGTGCTTTAAGAACTTGTTTAAACCTATTAACAAAGTGGTTGTATTATTGTACAGGCCTGTGACCAGGAGGTGGCACAATAAGACAGATGTGATTATATCGTAGAGTGCATGTACATCATAGCTTCACCTATATTATAATAATTATGAATCAATTTGAAATTGATTAAACTATGTATGACTTTCCCTGAGATATACTTTGTAATGGTATGGTTAAAAAAAATAAAAAATAATTGTCAGATGCAGACAACAGGACAGAGGCTTCAGGTCTAATGAATCCCTTTATTCCTTGGCAGTTGAATTCAGTTATTTTTTATTGAGCACCAATTCACAACAGTTATCTCATTGCACTTTTCATAAGAGCAAATCTAGACTGTACGTTAAAATAATATTTACAGAGACCCAGCATTGGTCATTATCTAGGTACAACTAAGTAGCTAGATAACCTATTAATATTTACTATTCAACTATGACAGAAGGATATACCGCTACTGATGATGTGTCCCATTCATTTGGCCAAACTGCTGTCACAGTGTTACTTTTGCTCCTGGTTTCTCTGACCCTTGCTCCTGATGTTGCCTGGATACTTAAGCACAAAACCCAGCCTCCCTGGGGGGGCTTGAACCACCAACCTTTCAGTTAACAGCCAGACTCGTTAACCTTTTTGACCTGTCTTTTATCTGATAAGTGTAACTTTAACTTCAATGACCTCTTATGTCCTCGTAGACTGTAAAAGCCTTAATTGAATTTCATTACAACAGTAAAACATTAATGTCTTTGTCTCTGAGTAGGTCAGACATCACTTGTTTGTACTTAATTACTGATATTTAATTAACAACACAACAAACCAGCTTTTTTATCTTAATCATTTATTCAGCAAGATTGTCATGTGTATTGGATTTTAAAACACGGTTGCCACTACATTAATGTACTGTAGATCTGGCCAACATGCAACAAGGCACCAAATGCTATTTTAAAAAAAGAAAACCTATATATACTGTATGTAATTTTTTAAGACTTAATTTCCGACACTACTGATCGCATATTACATAGTTAATACAGAATTCAAATTTATTAAGCGGAAAAAGAAAATCTTTAATGTTTTTTTTATATTTCTGATAAAGAAATTGTTCAAATCTCAACTGTTGCAGACAATACATACATCACACAGTCCTCAAATAGCATATAAACTTTTTCCAAATATGCAAACATTATTTTTGACGACTGTAAAATGTAGTGCTCGCATGTGTCTGTATGTGTGTGCAAATAGACAATATGTTGCTGAAACAAAAGGTCAGTTTTTGATATGATCTTGACATTGCCTGGCTACCAACCCAACACTGCACAACTTCTAAGAATCAGGAACCATTTCCAGTCTCTTGAAGAACCTCTTGCCCAACAATACCATGATCTACAGTGGCTACTGACTTTGTCAACCATAAATAATTAACGGCAGAACAAACGGTAGGTAATCAAATTCAAGGACTGTGACCGATCAAATGGAGCCCTACATATGAGGGTGGTGGCTGCAGGAGAGTTTGAAGGTCATCTTTGGAGGAACCCACTGTACCTAAATCACACCCGTCTGATGGCTCAAGTCCTAGCTCTGATTTTCTCTCAGATCATGTCCTTGTTCTCCATCTGTGGTTCCAGTTTGTGCCGATGTGATCTGATCCTTCTGTGAAGTGTTCAGGGCTAGCTGCATGGCCCAGACGCTCAGCGGCCTCATGTACGCCAGAGAGCGGTAGATTCCCTTCTCACAGTAGGCTTCAGGAGTCTGGAAGGCCATGCCCAGCCTCTCCCACACAGTCCGGTAGCAACCCTCTGCCGTGCGCATACCCTCCTCCTGCATACCCTGAAAGAAACCGACAGCCACAGAGGCGTGAGGCTGTATTTTACTTAATGTCACAATCAATGCAATCAGCCAATTTATTGCAGAGTTAGGTGAGAAGATTTGATATCACAGTCATATCTGTCCCTATAATATGAAACTGGAGTCCGGAGTCATTTACAAGACCCCAGGAAATATTTCCCAAAATGTATAACTATTCCTTTAACAGATTGTTAACAATGCAAAACTTAGGATTAAAATATTACAAGACTCTTAACCATGCAATAACGGCAACGTTAGAATTGTTTTAGCATCTTAAAAAGAGTGGGTTCAACTTTTCTGATGTCTTGGCACTTGTTAATAATTGATACCTACTCAAACTTTACAATTCAGTAACCTATCGTATATCGCAGTCAGTACACTTTCAAGTCACTCCTCAGCTGCATATGTGACAGAAAACAAAATCAACTTAAGAGGATAAAAAATGACCAGATGTAGTGAGAAAGACAGAAGAGCTCAACAACACTGCACTGACGACAACATTTTAACAAAATGAGAGTATGATATGCCACAAATATTATACCTAAATACTAACATACACACGCACACATACCTCATGAATCATAGTGGCTGCCAGTCCATACACTACTCCAATCCAGACCTCATCTGACTGGACACTGGACCGGTCAGGCACTCCTTCAGGGCGCATGCCATTAACTGCCCCCATCTGGCCCCCAGCGAAGCTCATTACATTCAAGTCAAAGACAGATTTTAGTGCGCTCTGGATTTTATCTTTTGGAAAAGCCTGGAGGGAGAGAGGAAGTGATGTTCAAAGCTTTGATACATGTCCTAATCTGAAAACATCTTTAATGTTTTCAGCTCGTCAGAGAAAGGAACAGTTGTTAGGTCATGAAGAAAAAACTATGTACTGTGCACAATTTAACTCTTGGTGGCACTGTTCAATATTAACCTTCAATTTGGCAAGTGCTCAGTACATTTCTGCCAATTATAGCTGGGCAGATATACTGGCTAATATTAGCTTATTGCATATAAAGTATTGTTGTACATGTCAAGAGAGACAAGAAATTGCAGTACAGAAATCCAAACCACGTTTAAGGGTACTTAAGAAACACGGCTGAGAGCATCATAAGTTGATTTTTACTTTAAAATTTCCAAATCAGCAAGTATCTTGGTCACAGTACTTAATATAACAATCTTGTAATTGTTTTTGTTTAAAAATCTGGTAACGAGATATAGCCAATACATAGTAATTTATTTTAAACTCTCCATATATTAATATCAGTATCTGTTATACTTCACATCCATTGTAGGCCAGCTGGTACTTTTTCTAATTGCTTGTCATTTTGTACTGCTCTGTCAGGGGAAAAAACTCCTCTACAAAAAAAACTCAACCTCAGTGTTTATTGCTTAATATGGGTGAAAGATTGGGGGGCTCATGCATGTACACTGCTCGAAAAAATAAAAAGGGAACACTTAAACACACAATGTAACTCCAAGTCAATCACACTCCTGTCAAATCAAACTGTCCACATAGGAAGCACACTAATTGACAATCAATTTCACATGCTGTTGTGCAAATGGAATAGACAACAGGTGGAAATTATAGGCAATTAGCAAGACACCCCCAGTAAAGGAGTGGTTCTGCAGGTGGTGACCACAGACCACTTCTCAGTTCCTATGCTTCCTGGCTGATGTTTTGGTCACTTTGAATGCTGGCGGTGCTTTCACTCTACTGGCAGCATGAGACGGAGTCTACAGCCCACACAAGTGGCTCAGGTAGTGCAGCTCATCCAGGATGGCACATCAATGCGAGCTGTGGCAAGAAGGTTTGCAGTGTCTGTCAGCGTAGTGTCCAGAGCATGGAGGCGCTGCTAGGAGACAGGCCAGTACATCAGGAGACGTGGAGGAGGCCGTAGGAGGGCAACAACCCAGCAGCACCGCTACCTCTGCCTTTGTGCAAGGAGCAGTAGGAGGAGCACTGCCAGAGCCCTGCAAAATGACCTCCAACAGGCCACAAATGTGCATGTGTCTTCTCAAACGGTCAGAAACAGACTCCATGAGGGTGGTATGACGTCCCGACGTTCACAGGTGGGGGTTGTGCTTACAACACCGTGCAGGACGTTTGGCATTTACCAGAGAACACCAAGATTGGCAAATTCGCCACTGGCGCCCTGTGCTCTTCACAGATGAAAGCAGATTCACACTGAGCACATGTGACAGACGTGACAGAGTCTGGAGACACCGTGGAGAACGTTCTGCTGCCTGCAACATCCTCCAGCATGACCAGTTTGGCGGTGGGTCAGTAATGGTGTGGGGTGGCATTTCTTTGGGGGGCCGCACAGCCCTCCATGTGCTCGCCAGAGGTAGCCTGACTGCCATTAGGTACCGAGATGAGATCCTCAGACCCCTTGTGAGACCATATGCTGGTGTGGTTGGCCCTGGGTTCCTCCTAATGCAAGACAATACTACTACTGGCTGGAGTGTGTCAGCAGTTCCTGCAAGAGGAAGCCATTGATGCTATGGACTGGCCCGCCCGTTCCCCAGACCTGAATCCAATTGAGCACATCTGGGACATCATGTCTCGCTCCATCCACCAACGCCACGTTGCACCACAGACTGTCCAGGAGTTGGCGGATGCCTTAGTCAAGGTCTGGGAGGAGATTCTCAGGAGACCATCCGCCACCTCATCAGGAGCATGCCCAGGCGTTGTAGGGAGATCATACAGGCACGTGGAGGCCACACACTAGTTTTAAGGACATTACATCAAAGTTGGATCGGCCTGTAGTGTGGTTTTCCACTTTGATTTTGAGTGTGACACCAAATCCAGACCTCCATGGGTTGATAAATTTGATTTCCATTGATAATTTGTGTGATTTTGTTGTCAGCACATTCAAATATGTAAAGAAAGGAGTACTTATTAATGAAATAATCTCATTAATTCAGATCTAGGATGCGTTATTTTAGTGTTCCCTTTATTTTTTTTGAGCAGTGTATTAACTTGCCTGGTAGTCTCCCTCTCCCAGCCCGGACGCTTTCAGGAACCAGTGGCCAGCACACTGGTCAGACATTACACTATTAGAAAGGTCTCTCCCGCTGCTGTCATAGTTGTAGTACTTGCCTAAACATAAAAGGAAATAAAGGTAAGGCATTTCAAGTCTCAATCAATTTAGTTTTGGAAATAACTTTGTTTAAACTGAACAGTGGCAGCATTTTTACGGATTTCCTTTTATCAACTGCTGCAACTAAATCCAAATGAGTGAACCCTTTCCAAACTGAACACAAGAGACAGGTGTTTAAACTTACCGTTCCACAGCAGTTTGTCAAAAGCACAGCCCCTGTCCAGGATGTCTCTGTAACGTTTGTATGTGTCCTCGTTGTCCACCAGCCTGGCCATCTTACACATCACACATAGGGACGCCAACCACAGCCCACCACAGTACGCACTGTAACATACAAAGAAACAAAATGACACCAGAAAAATAGGTTTACTAACTAACTGTTCCTTCTCTCACAGATGCAAATGCAGGTCACCACCAATACAACCCTCCCTGCTTTAATTCAGATTTTATTGAATCATAAGATTCAAGAAGCAAAGATTAACATGAATTTGAAGTTAATTTCCCAGTTTTGAAAAGTTTTGTACCAAGTCTGTTGCATTACTGTAAACATGAACCCAAAGCCTTTAATCTTTGCTACAGCCTCTGACGTCAACCTCGGCTATGATTTAGAGAAGCGCCGTAGCTATAGACTCAATAAACTCAATTGTCCTTCGCCCTGCCATACAGACTTGAAGTAATAATGCAATTATCTGTTGTGGTGGCAGCCCAGCTGATGGTGAGTGTCCTGTTTTTTCCTCCTTTTTTCGCATTCTGTTTTCCCCTGAGTTGCCTCTCTCTCGGTCTCTCCTCCCCTCTCCCTCTGTGTGTGCTCTCCTCTCTCTCCGCTCCGGAGCCCGCTGACAATCCACACCTGCGTCTCATCAACCCCACCTTTGCCAGCCACACCTACCAGCAATC